TCCTTGATGAGTATCGTAAGTTTGAAGTGCCGCAGTGCCTCAGCTTAATTGTAATAAAAGTCATAAGAGTCTCAGTCTACAAACTATTAAATAAGGACCAGAAGTTCCTTATGTCCATACTCAAAATGGTTTAACAGAAACATTTATTAAGCGAATGAAATTGATTACCCACGCTCTACTCATGAAAACAAAATTGCAAGTTTTCTACATGTGAACATACCATTTTACATAATTCATTATTAAGTTTGGTTGAGACCAGTTGTCAACCATCAATATTTCTCAGTACAACTCGTGTTTGGGCACCAGCCAAACATTAACATTTACGAGTTTTTGGTTGTGTTATCTATGTGCCTGTAAGACTGCCACAACGTATTAAAATAAGGCATCAATACAAACTGGGAATTTATGTTGAATTCGATCCACCATCTATCATTCAACATTTGGAACCCTTGACTGGGGATATATTTACCGCATGATTTGCGGACTATGATTTTGATAAGATAGTTTTCCCACCATTAGGAGGAGAAATAACATTGTTCCAAAAGAACGATGAGAAAATATCATTCCAGAAGAATGATAAGAAAATACCGTTCCAGAAGAACAAAGAGAATTTGTCTTATTTTGATTCACGAAGCAATCAATGAGAAAATGAAGTAAGAATAATTGAATGATGTTACGAAAGTGATGAAATCATATACACTTGCTGCAAATGTGCCTACAAGAATTGATGTCCCTGTTGGACAAAATATAATAAGGCAGTAAATGATTTATCTGTTGCACGCCTGAAGTGTGGTAGGCCTTAGACTCAAAAGGTTCATTCATTCAAAAGAAGAAGAATATGACACTACTAAACTATTGCATTCCCGAAGCATAACTGTTGCATGCCAGAAGCATGACAGTCGTCGCATGGATATACGTCCCAGAAAGGACAATCCGCGGACATGGGAATGTTGATGTCTCATGCAGGGAGCATGATAGACATATAGGTTCCAATGACTCAACTCCCGGAAGTGGAGATTAAAATCCAAGCTTTATAACGCTCAATAGGAGGTTATGATCTGCATTCTCTAAACTATGACTATCTTGGAATAGATAGTATAATGTCCTTGAAGAGGCAATGGATATCCAAAAGAAATGAAAAGTTTATGCATGCGCATGCACTTGAGAATATGGGATCACAGATTGATGATAACCAATGGTAATTTTGGTTTTTATAAGTAGCTATAAAATCATCAATGAGATGTGTTGATATTGAGTCTTGTTCTTTTTCGTCAACAAAATTATTGGCCAAAATGGAGAAAGGCAATTCCATTACAATTTTGTACGAACGTAGAAAAATGGACCTATATATTTGAATATAATACAAATAACCAAAAGATGTTGAACCAAGGAGGTTACATTGGGCATTTGTAATACAGTGAAATACACTCACATGATATAACCTTGAAATTATACTCTTGTAAACAAGTTCATATGAATGGAGAATTATATATAAAGGGTTGTGAGTCGCCCACATCATATCTCCATAAGTAAATCCCTCAAGTATATATGGGAGCAAATTGCTCTGTATAAATTCCAAAGGAAAATGTGTCATGAAGTGTAGAAAATCCCAGAAGGATTCAAATTACTTAAAGTAAGCCCCCAAATGGTAAAACATAAATTATGTACTCAATACCAATGGATGATATAAATTGCCTTAGTGAGTAATATCATTATGATATTGTTGCAACATACTAAAATCTCTTGCAAGAGTCAATGACATTAAATTAGAACTCCTGAAGAGTTGATGATATTAAATTGAGACTCCTGAAGAGTCAAGAAAAATTATATAGTGTTGAGAGAAATATTGTCTCGAGCTACAGATCGAACAATCTACCAACACGAATCTTATCCATGATGTTAAAGAACCATATGGATTGAAGATTATGAGTTGAATACTCAAATGATGTAGACACTAAGAATGATCATTTATCTTCGTGAGGGTAAAGATAAATTGATATTTGGTCCAGAAGTACCACATCTTAGTAAAGTATATGCTTTATTGTATTTAGCACAATACACTGAATGAAATAAAGCTTATCTATTAATATCTCCGAGAAATTACAGATATGTACATACATATGAGTTAAAACAAACAAACAGGATGAAACCTTTACAAAGGTTGCTCATGTGAAGCCTCAGTACTCAGAAGTACCCCAAAGGGGGAGGCACTGGAGATTGATCATGTGGCACCCCAATACTTGGCAAAACACCAGAAGGGGAAGGCATCAATTACTTTCGAAATCTAGCAACGAACCTCTGGTGATCACTTTGAATCCGACTTTCAGATTTTTGCAGCTGGTCGAGCTTTCTTTTCATGCTCGTAGAGTAATTATTTGCAAGCACGTATAACACTCTATTCTCTTACTTGAGCCCTCTGATCTCTTGTTTAAGACTTGCCACCTCAGACATCAATGATTCAACTTGGCGAGTTTGAGCAAGTAGGCGTTGACCCATATTGGATACAAAGCCCACACACTGAACACTGAGAGCCAAAGAGTTTTGAACGGTCGACTCATCAGACCGTTTTGAAAGGATCATGTTATCCTTTGGAGTGAGAAGATTCCTAGCTACCACAGTAGCGGTTATGTTATTCTTCATCACAAAGTCCCTAACCGTAAGAGGACCATTAGAAGATAATAAGGACGGGCGCCATATATTATCCTAACGCTGCTCGTCTGTATCACTCTTAAGACTCAAATCTAAGCAAAGGTTAGATGAGCAAGAAATTTTTCAGAAATGATGAAGGAAAATTAAGGTTAAGTAAAAATTTCAGAAGTGCAAGAATGAGGAAATTTCTACAGGCAACAACTTTCTGAGCATACTCTTAAACACAATTGATGTCTCTATAAAAGAAGAGGCAACATAGCCATTCATTCAGAGATCGAAGAGGCACCGTTCTCCAAATTTCAAAAGGCAGATTTTCCTGAATAAAGTTCGTTGGCATTTTTCAGACATAATCTCAGCTTTTTTGGATATCCCGTGCAACTTTGTCAAAGATCTCTGACAAAGTTGAAAACGCGTAAATCTTACTGTTCTAATTACACCACAGTTGCTTACAAGAGTAAAGGCACAATACCACTACCTGCTATTGAAAAATCTCTATATATGTCGATCTTCGTTCTCCATAACAAGGCAGACCTGCAAGAATACCTAACTCTTCCTCATCTCCAAGAATGCATCTTCAACAAAGCATCTCGAAATACTCAGTTCTTCCTCTCCGAGAATACCTCTTCAAAAAAAGTCACACCAGAGCAAGAGTATCTCATATCATGCAATCTCCCTGTCCTTTCCTTTGTCCTTGTTCTTACCTGCAAAGACAAGGATAAAGAAAGCAATATGTCGAAACCTCCACTCAAACTCCCGGTAAAGAATCGACTGCCTGAAACCTTTCCTGATTGCTTACCTTATTGCTCTCAAGTAGCCATCTTCAACTGTTGTTGGAGTTGGGTCTCCAGTCACCAAGAAGTGATGAACCATCCAAATGCAAGGGTTGCATTCCACTCATGCATCAGAGGGCAAATACTGCAGGAGAATATGCTACACATGCATGGGGGAAAACCACGGAAAATACTACTTAAGCAAGGGGAGCAAGTAAGGCAAGTGAAAATGATACATTGAAGCATGTGGAGACAAGCGCAACAAACACGTGCTGATTCATCCCCGACAAAACTGAAGATCACTTGCCACGTGAAACTCCTCATGGTCTAATTTCATTCAAGATCAAACCTCGAAGCCCTTGAAGAAATCACAAGTCCAATTCAAGATCAAGTGACCACCACCCTTGAATCAAATTCCACTCCAAATAAAAGGAGTAAATTCAGACCTTTGGGGTAAGTCTAGCAGAAGACCCTCCAACCCAGTCCAATAACAAGCCTGTGGAAAGTTAATAACAAGTAAAGCATCTCTTTCGACAACTTTTCTCTCTAAGAGACTAAAGCAGAATGATCAACGATCAGCCCATATGATTTGAAATCAGGGGGAGATATTCATCAGGGGGAGCATTCAAGACAGATCAAGATTTTAACGAGTCAATCGAAGACTTGTGGCCATCCAAGGGGAAGTGTTGTAAATATGGTGGATGTCCACGCCGGCCACTAATCCACTAAGCTACAAGTGGGAATAAAGGTTGTCTTTCTCTGTTTGCCAAAGCTTACCCCCTATGACTCATGTTTTCTATATAAATGCAACACACACCAAACATAGGTGAGTGACTCACGGTAGAGAGAGAGGAAAGAAGAGGAAGAGAGAAAAAGAGAGGAGATAATAGAGAGAGTTATCTTTGTACTCCTATTATTCCAAATTATAATGAAAGCACCACTGCTGCCCCAAGGACGTACTCCAGTTACACTAACTGCAGAGGAACCTCGTAAATTTTGTGTCTTGTCTCTTTTATTCCATTGCACACACTGGTCGATTTTACAACACAAATCATTCATTATGGTCATATTATCGAATAAGGCATTCCAAAGTAGTTTGAGTAAGTGTCATACCTATGTATAGAAATTAGGCAACTTGAGTTTGTTTCTATAACACTACTAATACACTACTGTGAATTCAATATATTGATCACACTCATAAGTTTAGTATATCGAATTCATGAGTTCAATATATTGATATGGCACTTAAATTTTCGACTCATTGCAGGAGTGTGATTCCTATATAAGCTTAACATATTGGTATTTTTGTCAATATACTGGTGCCACACTCACTTTTTGGCTAATAATATATTGTCGTGTAAAGAGAAACTTAAAACATGTTAATGTATTATTGCATGGCGACGCCACGATGACAAAGAACCGGGAATGAAGCAGGGTAAAGACCAGATTTTGACACTTCCAGCCTTCAGAGTATTGCACATGGAATGTTTTTGTAGGCTATAGAAATTCAAACATCCTCTGGTGAAACATTCAAACCTCCAAACAATAGCAACTGGTCAAAAACTGCTCAAAAGAACCATATAGAGAGGGTAAAATAACAAACGCAATAAATATAAAAGTTACGTAAGATCTATACAATTTTACTATTTACTGGCAACAGGACTGAGGACAGCCTCAAAATTTCTACACATCACTTACGATAACTCACCTTGAGTAATGCTAGACGCATTTACAGAGTCAAAAATAAAATGGAAGTTCGTTCTTCATTCCGAGGTTAGCCACTGATGCGTACAACACAGCGGTATGGGGTCGAACCACGCTCTTGAATTGCAATGGGAAGGCTACAGTTGTTCAACTTGCACTGAGAATCCACATTGACACCTCTTTGTCAGCACCAAGTTTCCCTCATCAAAACTCTGGTTTTCGGTCAAGAATACATGCTCGTGATCTTCGGGCATGGAAGCTGATGGATCAGCTGTCCTCTTTTCAGGCACATTTTGCTGGCATGCAAGAGATTGCTTATCATTCTGACGATCATCAACCTGTACGTCTATGTTGCTATTCACCTTGTTGGTGTCAACTGATGCTGTAGAAGAGGGGGAGTCCCCATAGCGGTTGTTTAACCTTTGTCGAGTTACAATCGAACAGAGAAGCTGATACCACCGAGAAATAGCCTGCCCTTGGTTTCTTTTCTTTTCTGCAGCGTCTCTTCTTTCCTCTTCCTCTGCATATGCCTAAAGAACAAGCAACCAAAAAATTCGGTCAAGATTATCTACATCAAATGTGCTGGCAAATTAAAAAAATTCATAACATAAACTCTGAAGTATTGATAATGTTATAGATTGAGGTATGGTTTGGAAATTCGAAAACTCAAACGAGACTCAAATGAAGCACAATGAAAATATAAACTTATCAAGGACCACAGTCCACTCAAAAGTAGCAAAGTACTTTACCTCCAATATTGCATCCTTGAACTCAGAGCAGACTACTATACCATCAAAGACAGGAAACGATTGACCATTTTTATATTCGAAACCAACCATGGCGGGAGCATAATCAATTTCCAGTCTCTTGGCAACATAAAACAGCCTCGGCAACCTCAAATGCACAGTCCCTGGCGGAAGGCACTTCTCAGACCATACTTCCACATTACCGTAATCATTCTATATATCAAAAATAGCATTTGTCAGTAACAATAGAATGCTAAACTTCTCCCCTGTGCATAAAGACAATTTAGTCAAATGGAAGGAAAAGCGAAGTACTAACAGCCACTTGCAGAGTGGAAAAAAAAAAAAGAGTAAATATTGAAACAGAAGAAGATAATGATGCTCAATTCATAACCCTACACTTCCAATGTGAATGAACATCCGCAGAAAATTATAGGTAAATCACCTTTGGCACTATCCCATTAACAGCATGAGCCAGATGCAATGGTTCAAGTTGCCACTTCCCATAAAGTTCAAGAGTTCGTTTCGAATTACCCCCAACAAAATCATCAGATTCAGGTACCTGTGCTTTTTGGACTTTTGGAGAACGTTTCAACTCCTGGAAAAGAAAAACAGAATGGGAGGCGAGGAAGTGAATATAAGGAATGGACAATGAGCAAAAAGTAAAAGAGTTAATGCATCAAGTACTCCACAAACTATCAAGTATCAACCAAACCAGACCTTCACAGGATGCTCATTGGTTTTAACTTGTAGCCCCTCCCGCAGCCATCTTTCTCTTGTCTTTAGTGTTTGCACACATGTCCTAGGGTAAACTGGATGACCAGAACAAAAACCCAAAACAGGGCCCTTCGGATGAAGTACCTGATCCCTTGTAAGCCATTTTTCTATAGCATATAGTTGATGGTTTTTATAGGCCTGCATATGTAAGTTCAAATGTTCAGCAAGAGAAAACTAGCAGCTGCGCAACTGGAACATCATTGTAATGCAACAATATCAATTCACTATACCTGCTGATTAGTTGGAAGAGGCTCAGTTAAGGCCCTAGTTTCCAACTCCATATCCTCTAGAGAATTTCGGGAAACATCAATCATAGTTGGATGATAATCCATGGCCGCACCATTCCATTCTTTCTCCAACTTAACTATGCCACATGTTGCTCTCACCTCTAAATTTCTCAAGGGTGCCAGTACTGCATCCCACCATATTGAATTGACTCGTTGGGATGCTATCTGATACCACTTCAGACAGTACCTGTGGTGTGAACATGTTGGTGAAAGAAGAAGTGGGAGAACAATATTACTAATACAACAACCAAGCCTTATCCCACTAAGTGGGGTCGGCTGTATAATAATATACAGTCCTGCTATCTTGATGTGAGACTCTTAAATAGGAACTGGAACACCACAGGTTAAATTATACTCAAACAAAAGTGAAGCATAAGATTTGCACGAAAGCAAGCAAGCACAGTTGAACAAGACCTTCTTTTTGGTAAAGGAAAAAAAATAGGAGAGCTAGATAATAACCCAAATTCTCATACATAAAAACAAAGAATACGAAATCAATTAGACAGTTCAGCCTGTTGCTTACATCCACCCTCAGTTTCCTGGGAATTTATAAATCCTCCAAGTTCAAATATGGATTATGGTAACTCCGAAAACCTTACACACCACTATTAGACCGAAATTTCACCCAAAATCTTTGGGACTCAAGACCAGAAATACACTGCACAATCTAAACACTTCTCTGCGGTGATTGTCACTGGGGAGATTCAAAGGTTTACAAATAAACACAATGGTATAGATCATATTAATGAAGTGACCAATACTCTCACTGTTCTAAATCTTCCTCTCTGTGAAGTGAACTCAACCAAGAGAAGGTAAATAGATTTGATCTCTAGGAATTCTCTCTCAAATCTCAACAGATGTATAACAAGAAACGCTGTTTATAACGTATTTTATCGAAGGCACAGAATGGTTTTGGATTCTGCCAGGAACAATGAACAAGGGACTACACATCACTCAACGGACTGGGCCAGTCACCTGGGACTACTGACATCACACACAGAGAGATAAAACATTATGACAATCGGTTGGGGCGAATTATGATTTCAAATAGTAAGAAACCTTGGTCGTTTCCTTTCCAGTGGTAAATCATTGTACCCCAGGAATTTAAGAATGAATGGCATGGATTCACATCTTATAGCGCAAACATGCACAGCCAAAGATGAAGACCAGATATTTAAAAGAGACTTTATAGATGAACTTGAATTCAAAAATATATGATTTCTGCATTCTGAAATGCCTAGAGAACTTGAATCAGGTCCAAGCTCAGGACTAAGGAATTTAAACAAGCAAACCATGATGTGGACTTACACGTTTTGCAGGAGGAGGCTAATAGTGTTAGAAATATATGCAACAGTTAAAGAAACTGCATTTCATAATGGAAATGGTGTATATAGAATCATAGATAAAATCAAAGAATACAAACCAACCTGCGAGTCACATCTTTCGCCCCATTCCCAGCAAAAGCAACTGCATATCTCAAAGACGTTTTGCATGCAGCAGCTATGGCTTCAACCTTCTGCTCTCCATCAATAATTCCATTGATAGCATCTATATGCACCCACTTCCCCTGACAGTATACTTCTGCCCAGTACAAAGGAGATCCTTCTTTTCTCGAGCCAACTGCAGTAGAGATACTCTGGGAGGGGTTTTGTGATTCTTCACAAACAATTCTTTTCATTCTTTTCAGGTCAGGGAAATTTGCAAAATTTCCACTCAAGTCTTTCTGACCTGAACCCATTTCTCTATCTGCAGTCGGCACTGCTGTGGCAGAAAGAGCCATTTGCAACTGCATTTCGAACTCATGATCCCCTTTCCTTTTTGATCCCAGAGATTTCTCATTAACGAATGCTTGAGAGATGTCATATTGTGTTGCAGAAGTATCTGACAATTTATCATTCGTCACATAAGCGATACCAGAGCTTGTGGGCAGAGTATTGTTTCTTGTGGGGTCCTTACTTTCGCTTGAACACGCCCGAGAAGTTCCATAGACATTGCCACTCGTACTACATGAAAGTGATTTGGCAGGAGAGACAGAGACCTTTTGTCTAGCCACCATTGGGGTCGAAGAACTGAATATTCTCCTACTCGATCTGCTTACATCTTCACTAGAATATTCGGTCTTGCCAGCTTCTGGTTTTAAAGAGGCAACATCCAAAACCGAGACGAACCTGCCAAGAAACTAACAGAGTTCAACAAGAATGAACTTTACCATATCTATATGTTGTGGAAGAAGAAGGGTAATCAAGAAAATTAGTAACTCGCAAATAAAGGGATCTGCGGAAGTGCAATAACTAGACAATAAAAACAGCAATATTCTAAGAGATCTTAGGCGAATATTACATCTAATTTTCAATGAGGGAAAACTGGAGAAGCATGGAGTATGCCTCAATTAAGTCTTCAATAAGAATGGCTTTTTCTTTTTCTCTTTTTACTTCGAAAAAGCACCATCACAGAAAAGACAACCTATCATGTGTGCAAACACACACACACTTAAAATTCAGACTAAAGATAATTATACTTAAAAGAACTGATATCAGCCAGACTATAAAATATTATCAGTTTTGTCATAATTGATTATGATATCATACCGCGTTGTCAGATTTAATGCTCTAAAGAGTGCCACAGACAAAGCAGCAATCTGCAACAAAAATGACATTCGAAAATTAGTAGAAAACAAAGCAACATTTGAGTAATAAAGAAAGCATTTGTAAATGAAGACTAAATCTTGATCATAGACTCCAATAGTTCATAAGTACCAGTTTACATCCAGCACCAGTGACTAGGTTTACATAAGATAACTGAATTCAGATGGACTCAGCCACATTTAAAACCCTTAACTGAAATGATATTAGGAAAAAACTGACCTCTTCTTGAGTTCCTTCATGAGTTTCAAGGGCAAATTTCAGACCCGAAGAAAATGGCCTGCTCACACTTGTACTTCGAACATGGAAGTTACTTTGAAACTGCAAATTATATGTGAACGAACCAACAAAAATAGAACAATCATTTGCTAATCTACAAGTCTGCATGTATATAAAGTAAAATTAAAGACGTACCCAGACGACTAGAGGACTAAAATCCTTTGTAGTAAGGTTTGCAACCTTGGATGTATTCAGCACGTGTAGTGGAAGCAGAGAAAGTAAAGCGGCCTGCCACAGTAATCAAATTTCCTCAGGAAGAAGTGGCATAGGTTCTTTTTCGTACTAAAAAATAATCAAGAGAAAGATTCTCTTCCACTCTCCTCAATTACTAATACTATTTAACAAAAAAAAAAAACCTGAATAAGAGCATCATCACAAGCTCTATCAATCAACCTTCCCCGTGCAAGTAAACAAAGTAAATGAACCCTATGAACAAGCTCAGCCAGTTCCTGCAAGAAAACCAGAGAACTTCGGAATCATTTAGCATAAAAAAGTTGTCATAACAAGGATGCCAATGTAAATGCCAAATGAAAATCTTTGATTCACCTTATCTTCAGCAGAAGCCCGACGGATACGTTTCTTTCTTGTAGAATCTGGTGTCTCATTTAATTCAATAGTCACTTCATGATCGCCAGCGGAATTAGAAATGGGTATTGAACCCTCTTCCCAATCTGAGTCATCCAGTTCTTCCCTAATGTTTGTGGAAGTGCATCCAAAGCCTTCCCCATCAACTTTCTCTTCTGCAGAGACCTTTCGATTTGCATCTTTACTACAACCCTCAGATTCCAAAATATTCCCTCTGACTCTTGAATCGACATCTTTGTCACTTTTTGGCTCGCTCTCAGGCTGAAATATAAACAGCATAAGACAAACCCTCCACTTTTCTAAGTATTTGATTTTCCGAAGTATATGTGCTCATATAAAGGGGACAAACCTTTCCGATTGAATCACATGGACGCAGACTATTGTTAGATTTCCTTTTCCCAGTTTTATTGGCACGCCCCAGAAGTTTGCTGACAGCCTCATGTGATATGTCGGCAAGAGTTCCTGAAATCAAGATTAAGTGCTAACTACAAATCCATGACATAATTTGTTGAGGCTCCCTAAGCAGAGCACAGTTTTAACCAACAATAGCATTAATTCACGGATCTGCATTGCCATTAAATGACTCTAAATGTCTTCTGATGCTTGAACAAGATAGAAATTCCATTGCATTTTCTTTCAACGTGCAATGCAACAAATATACAGGCAGTCACACACACAGCAAAAAACGCAAATAAGAAAAAAGAAAACCAAAAAAAAGGCAACCGGAAGCATGTGCTCATCTCAATGCATATGCACCGCAGAAGTGCAAATGTACTTCAATGCATATGGATCTCTGCCTCCTAAAATCCATTTTCGTACATGTGCTTTATCTCTAGACTCTAATCAATTAATTAGCTTTCTGAAAAACTAAGATAACAACACTCAGCTGAACTCAAACAGGAAGTAGACACTAATGTTTAATTCAATTCCATCTCACTCAAATTCATAAAGTCTTCAAATTTCAATTTCTCCTCCTTTCCGGAGGCATGGGTTAAGCCAAGTTGGTTAGAGCAGTGCGCTTCACTCTCTTCACCCAAGTTCGAATCCCCCACATAGTTCAGAAGAATTTAGTGTAATTATCCTATCATTTGTCAAAAAAAATAAAAAATTCTCCTCCTTTCCTCCCCCACAAATCCTCAGCAACCCAAATAAGCAAAGATTCTATTAAAAAAATAGAAACACCAACGAGCACTCCATAACGAAATCAACCAACCCAGAAGTTTCTTGTGGATTATCTTTCCTCCACAATGCAATACACTGTAATTAAGTATAAAACGACAGCCATTCTAATCGTTGCATCGTTGGTTAACCCCAAATTGAAGTTTATGGCTTTTTCATTTTTCTGCTTATTTTCTCGCAAACCAAACAGAACCAGAAAAGAAAACAGAACAACGAGTTTGTAGGAGCGGAGAAAGCAATGAGAATCTACCTGATGACGATTGTTTGGAACGGTTCGTCTTGTTTTCGCTTCGCATTTTTTGCAGCTTCAACTGTTGAGAGAGAGAGAGAGTGCTCGCGCGCAAAACTGTTGAAGAAAAGGGGGAAATCCTATGAACCCTACTAAATTGGTCCTTTGTCTGGTTAACTGTATTTTTATTTTTCGATATAAAATTTTTGGATAAAAGAATATAAAATTTTAAAATACCAATAACAACTCAATTTATTCATATTATTATTAATTTCTTTCTCACGCTATCTGAATCCGAGTCCGATATGAAGCGGTGATGGTAGAATTCCCGGTAGAAAAAGATTTCGCTAACAAAACAAACTTTAAATATTGCCCTAAATCTCTTAATTTTCCAAATATTTTTACGAATATGGTTTTTTTTTTTTTTCAGGAAATAGAGGTGTGCTTCCTTGGAAGTGCCATTAAAATGTTATAATAGGGTTTTTGGCTTGACTTGAAAGACATCTATTCTTCAAAATCAATTGTTCTTTACTATTTTCTTATCTATTTTTTTTCTCTAATTTAGACTTCAAAAAAGAGAGAGAGCGGGGTGTTAAAAATCACATAAAATATTAGTAAGAAGGATAAGGTACAATATGCCAAATAGATTGAAGTTGATAAAATAAAAAAAAATATAATACAAACAAAAACGAAAGATTGTCCATCATTTTCTTCATTTTTTTGCCGTGTTACATTTATACATATAATAAAAAAATCTAAAAATTTAATAACCCAACCCTATCAACCACTCGGCCATCTTTCCAAAAGATAATTTCTCTTTTATTTTTATCCCGTATTTTATTTGTATTCCACCCCTAGAACACAGACATGAGTTGATACCATCCTCTAGTCCAAACTTGAACCCGATCAAATACATATACTAAATTATTAATACAATTTTTAAAATCTAGGTTTGTGAGTCCTCTTTATTGGTCTTGTAGTGTCTCATATTTTCTTGCTATTACAATTGTGTGGAATTTAAAAAAAAAAAGAAAAAAAGAAGAAGTTATTTTCTTTGTTATTAGGTTTGTTTTGTTTACATACTTACCTAATTGTTTATTGATTAACTTGGGTTGCATAATCAAATCTTAGAGGTACTATCCCTTGCGGAGGTGGGGATGGAAATCCTCTAATGAAAAATGTTTGAAAACTTTGAGTTTTAATGATAAAGACAAAATAAAGGGTAAAGTGAATAGTACCAGGATTAACTTTTTAGTGTAAAAATGTGGTTTTTCGTTACAATGAACAGTACCAGATGCTTTTCGTTAAATTTCCCTTATAAAAAATGGTTATGGACAACACCTCCCAACCCGCCTCCCGTTGCCATCCCTATTTAAAAGTAACATTAGGATTTTCTTTCAACAACTGAAATTGATTAAAACGCATATTTTTTACAAATTTTAAAATGTATGTCAACATTTAACTTAAAAATTATAAAACTAAAAAACTTATTAAACCAAATACAAGACTGAAGATAGTAATGATCAAGAATAACAACCTGCAGTTGTTACATTTGCTTTCTTATATACCACTAGCATATGGCTGCACAAATTTTATTTTTTATTCACCTCTCCCAGACCCTGCGTAAAGCGGGAACCTTGTGCACTGGGTACGACCTTTTTATTTTAAAAGAAGGATAGAGAAGAGAATGAGGAGAGAGGTTTGTTTTTGTTTTTATTTTAATTAAAAATATGTTAGAGTCACAAGTAAGTGATGCGTTAAAAAAAAGGACAAAATTTTGATCTTGTGAAACTACATTATTACCTATGTTATTTTGTTTATATTCAATTTTGATTAGAGAGAGTTTTTTATTTTATTTAATTTTAATTTTTTTCTTTTAACAAATGATATTATTAAGGGGATGAGATATGGTGGTCTAAGCACGGGTTCACATTCGCCTTTTGACGATTATCAAACCTAAGACTTTTCACTTACAAGTGAAGATGAATACCACTAGATTGTAGTACTAAATGATTGTTTGATTAAAGAGTCGGAATGATAATTTTATGAGGTTTTGGTTGACAATGAATGTTGTTTATATGCCCAAATAGAAAAAGAAAAAAAAAGAAATATAACAAAAAATTGTACAAGAAATAAATAAGGAATAGTGCTATTCACACATTTATTTTTACCTCTTATATACTCTTGCTAATTTTTTATATTAATCTTTTTTAATTTATCTAATCGACGATCGAAATTAGGACAAGTGATGATCTGTGTCCCAATCCAACAGCGTACGAAACAGCGTTTCCCCCTCCAAAATAAGTCAAACACCGCCTTTCCCAGAGCTTACCACAAAACAAGTGAAAATCCCAATTGCCTTTCCCAGAACTTACCCAAAAAAGGGCCTTGGGAAACCCTAATTCCTGTCCTCTGTGTTATAATAAACCTAACCCACTCGTCTTCGTCCCCATCTCACACTTCCCTTTCTCACAGCGCCCAATCTCTCTTCCTCTCGCACTTTCCTCCTCGATCGTTTCTTCGGTTCGTCGGAACCGTCTCTTCTCTAATCGTTCTCTGGTATGTTTCCTTCTCTCTTTCTTTCTGTGCCCTAATTATTTGTTACCGTACACCTTTTAGGGTTTCTGATTTGAAATCTTTGCAATTTTGTAGATTTATTTCTTTGTTCTCGTCGATGCGAAAATTCGCTTTGATTTTAGGCTTTTGCTGATCCGATTTGCCCCTTTTTTGACCTAAATGAGTAATCTTTGATTGCTGTGTGTATAATATGATTCACGAGTTAGATGTTATCGTTATTGATATAATTTTTGTTCTATTTTTTGGTAATTGCAGGTTTAGATCTCATTCGTAGCAAAAGGATTTCAATTGTAATATCTTGATTCGATGTCGACTGCTTTGGATATGTCGCTTGATGACATGATTAAGAACAGCAGGGGTAACCGTGAGAGAAATAGAGAACAACGTGGTAGGGGTTCTCGTGGCCGTGGAGGACCACGTGGCTCCTTTAATGCTGGAAGGATGGCCGCCGGAAGAATTCCAGCTGGAAGGATGGCCAGTGGAAGAATTCCAGCTGGAAGAATGACAGGAGGAGTTCGTAGAGGTCCTCTCACGGTGAATGCTCGGCCATCCTCGTATACCATTGCCAAGGCAAGCTAAAAACTGTAGATGTTTAATGATTTGAGAAATGATTTTAAATCCCAAATACATGAGGATCTCTTAAACACTTAGAAAGTCAATTACGAGAGGATCTGTGACGTATGTTGTTCATGGAGAAGCTCATTTTGGCTCATCTTCTAAAGCGCTATCAACACCCACTGCATATGTACCGTTATCTTCAAGATTTATCTGTACTTGTGGGTTGTTGGGTTATTTTTCTGGGGACTTTGAGGAATGGCGAATTATCTTGTTATCTATTCATAAGCTGACATTTATTTCCCCCATCTGGATCTTTTTCTGCATGCTTTCATCAGTCTACCCGCAGAACCAAGCGTTTCCCATGGCAGCCTGATTTGTTTGAAGACAGCCTTAGAGCTGCAGGGATATCAGGGATTGAGATTGGCACAAAGTTATATGTTTCCAACTTGGACTATGGAGTGACAAATGAGGATATAAGGGTACAACTTGAGCCATGTACTTTCATCTTATGCGCTTTCTTATCGAATTTCTTGTAACGTTCTCCTGAAACATCAACTGCAACTGCAACTCAGGAACTTTTCTCTGAGATCGGAGAGCTGAAGCGATATGCAGTACATTTTGACAAAAATGGTCGCCCAAGTGTGAGTTTTTTTGCTCAGTATTTAAAGTTCTTCCCTCTTATATTCTATCCTAATAGTAATAACAGTTTTGCTTATATTGGGCACTGATTTTTGGTTTAAGATCTTGATATTTGGTATAGATTCTACAAAGTAGTCAAATAAATGAAACTTGTATTTGAAGTCATGGTATTCATTTTAAAATCCTGATATTTGAACAGATTTGAAACTAGCGTGGTTCAATTGAGTTCATCCCTATACAGTTTCCATGTTAGCACGAGTAGACATTTTGGAAAGCATTGCTCTTGTTAGTTTTCTCTTAATAGTTCTAATCCAAACGAGTTCCAACAAACTCTGTATATATCTACACCCCTAACTTCATTTGTTTTTACATTGTTTGAGAGACATTGTGCTATGCTTGTCCATTAGACATTTGATGTTTAATATAGTCTACCCTTCGGGCTGGATGGTTCTGCAAAAGCCAGCTGAGGTGCTATTTCCTCTTGTCATGATGTGTCTAATCAACATTGGTATATGTGATACTCTGATATTTGAGCTCGATTTGTATTTTGATGTAGTTTATTTATGTTTTGACTATTGACATGGTTTGTCCATTAAGGATTGTTGGTATTGTTCGGGTCTCTTGTCTGTGGTTATATGTTTTGCATTATTCTTAACCAGAGTATAATTGTATATGTCCTTTTTACTATTTCATAGACAGGTTACCTTGGTTATCAAGTTTCATTGAGGGAAAATTTCTTCTTGTGTTATCAGGGTTCAGCTGAAGTGGTTTATACTAGAAGAAGTGATGCATTTGCAGCATTGAAGCGGTATAATAATGTTCTATTGGACGGGAAGCCTATGAAGATTGAGATTGTTGGTGCTAATGCAGGGATGCCTATTTCAGCTCGTGTGAATGTGACTGGCATGCATGGAAGGAAGAAAAGGACTGTTGTAATGACGTATGCTTTCTTTTTCCCCTTTCAGATTCTGTTTCTATTATAACTTTTAAGCAGCTAAGGCAATCATGAGCATGTACCCTGTTATGCATAAAACCAGATATTATTAATTGATTAAATTACACTAGAGATATATCAAGTTGTCGACATGCTTGCATCTTTAGGCTACAGGATACAGGACGTTGGAGATGCCCATCACTAATTGTATCAGTATTAGTGTAAATTCTACCAGTTTTTTTGTCTGCAATTATGGACAATGCCCATCTTCCGTTTACATTATCTAATATCTTACGACGACACCAGGAACATTGTCATTTGTTATTTTCTTTTAGATGTTTTGGTTGAATGTGAATATATTAATATTACCAACAAATTTATTTTACTTGGTATGAGTTGATGCGTTCCATTGTGATATCAGTATGTTCCTTTGTCTCCAGTGGGTGGGATTCTCATGTTGTGGGGAGAGGTTCTATCCGAAATCCTCAGAAGTAGAGTCTCAATGTTACCATCTATTCTCCCTTTTGTGAAAGTAGGGGGTGGGGAATCGGAAGAGTGCACCTTTGGGTAGATGGTGGGGGTGTCATCTTTTGATCTTTTTTTCCTTCCTCATTTAGTTTTGAATTGCACTGACTTTGGAAACTTAGATAGTTCCAGTTGTGCAAACTCCTGTTTTCTTATATACCTTTGCATTCAAGTTGCATTCAACTTGTGCAAATCATTTTTTTCTCCAATGGTCACCAGTCAACTGGATCCTCCCTAGGTTGATTTGGCAGGTGGTATCCTGACTTCCAACCAAGGCAAAAATTCTCTATTGGTTGGTTGCACATGGAAAAAAGACCTGTTGCATGTTAATTTCTACGTTGGAGTGTTTTCATCAAGGAGGGGAGCAAGTGGGCCATTTATTTTTTCCTTGCAGATACACTAGACCAATTTAGAACAGATTGTTGCAGGGAATTGGTTGGGTGTGGGTGTGCCAGAAGAAATGTTACTGGGGATTAACTGGGTTATGGTGGTCTGACTGTTGGTTTAGGTGTTTTCTGCGTTTGGTGCTATGAGATGTACTGCTTGTTCATGGTTCTTGTAGTTCCTTTTATATCTTCTTAGTATAGTTCATATTTATGATGACAAATATGTTGCATGTCTCCTGATAATTGGTTGTTTACTTTCCTGGATGTCAGTCTGCATAAAAAGTTTCTGATACTCCATTATTAGTTAGGCTTTTTGTATGTTGTGAGGTGCTGTTACTGTTCGATGAGATAAAGTAAGGATATTTATATCTTTGTTCTCCACTTACACAATTTTTAATGCAGGCCCGGACCTGGTAATGCTGGTGGCTATGCTATGCCTATGGTTAATCGTGGTCCTAGGTAAGATCTTATCTTTTACCCTGTGACGATGCAATTGTGTCTTTTTGAACTATCACTGTCTTATTTTAGTGACGTAATATGTTAGAATTCCAATGTTTGGTGCATTTCTTAAAAAAGAACTATAAACTAAAAATATTAGATGTATATGTTCAGACATCTTAGTTAGATGATGTATTAAATTGTTGGGTAAAAATCTAATTGGCCTCTGAGCAACTATACAGATAAAGTTGGAAGAGTATTAGCATGCTCGTCCATGCGCAAGGATAGTACGCATAATAATTCAATATAAATCTGAAGGCCGGTTTATAGGACAACAGTTTAGGTCATACAAGTAAATTATGTGTTCTATTAACTGTTGAGTTTTATTCAACAGCTTAAAAGTTAGAGCATGGTAATTACTCTATTAAAAGTAGGGTAAAACTTAGGTTTGAAGTGTTTTTTAAGATGGGTGATGAGGTTTCAATTTTCTCATTTTTTTTTTTTTTTTGAGAAGAAACAAAACATTTTAAAGAAGAAATGAGAAATACACTGGAGTGGATAAGAAATCCATCATTAACAAGAAACAAGAAAAAACTCTCACTAGGATTTGGCTACACCAACATTAGCTAGACCTAACTCACTTTACTGCTGCTAACAAATCCCACAGTAATTGAGAAATAGAGTAATTATTAAAAACATTTGAGACTGAAGCCCAAAGGGCTGCCCAATATTTTACTCTTCCCCAAAGTACTTCTACCCCCACACCTGTATAATCCTCAAAAATTCTTTTGTTACGCTCCAGCCAAATGTTCCAAAAAACTGCCGAGACCAGACAACCCCACAAAGCTTTAGCTTTCCTCCCACTTCCTAGGGCCTGAAACTTGGTGCTTAGAAGCTCGAAACAACCCTTTGAAATGACCCAACTAGCTCTAACCTCCTGAAACAGTTTCCACCACAGCTGAATCGTGTAAGAGCAATGGAGAAAAATGTGGTTTACACTCTCCTCCTTTGCTTTGCACAAACTGCACCATTGTGGGGATAAGCAAATAAAAGGGCTTCTCCTTTGAATTTGGTCACAAGTGTTGAGCTTCCCTTTGGCCGCCAGCCATACAAGAATCTTAACCTTCGGAGGAACTTTTGATTTCCAAATCTGTGAATGGGATTGGAAGTATTGCATCATCCCTTTGTTACTCAAGAAGGAACAATAGGATTTGCATGTGAACAATCCTGATGCTTCCATTTTCCATCTTCTGTTATCCGTTCTTGATTGAGACAATCGGACCTCTTCCACTTTCTGTAATAATCTAGCCGCCTCTTCTATCTCCGCCTCATTCAAATTTCTCCTGAAATCAAAATTCCAACTTAAAGAATTGGTAGAAAGATCTACAAAGCTTGAAATGTTCTGATTGTGCTTCCTCGATAGCAAGAATAATCTAGGAAATTGCTCTTTCAATGGTCCTCCATCTAACCACCCATCCTCCCAAAACCTCACCCTCTCCCCGTTGCCCACCTCGAACTTACAGCAGTGAAGAAACAATTGGGAACCAATCGATATATCTTTCCATGGGCTACGGCTTGAACCCCTTATCGGAGGAAATGCGTTCCATCCGTTATTCTGTAGCCCATATTTGCTTCTTATCACTTTGTGCCAGAGAGAATGAGGTTCCTTTGGGAATCTCCACAACCACTTAGCAAGTAATGCTTCATTCCGATTCCTCAAATTCCCCACCCCTAAACCTCCTTCCTCTTTACTTTTATAACTATCTCCCATTTTACCAGGTTGTTTTTCTTTCCTTCCTCCACACCTTCCCACAAAAATCCTTTCATTAGTTTTTCTAGGCGTCCAATCACCCCGCAAGGCATTTTGAACAGAGACATGTAGTAGGTCGGCAAGCTTCCCAAAACAGATTGAATCAGAGTTAATCTACCTCCTCTGGATAAGAAGGCCTTCTTCCAACTTTGAAGTCTTTTTTCCATCTTATCTACCACTGGATCCCAAAACTTGAGTGCTCTTGGCCTACCCCCAAGAGGGAGTCCCAAATACTTTATAGGCCAGCTACCTACCTCACAACCCCAAGAATCCGCCAACCTATTTAATTTCTCACAATCTGAATTTATTCCAGCCAAATAACACTTAGCTTTGTTGATTTTCAACCCTGAAACAGAACAGAATAATTTGAGCAGCTCTAATAGATTGTTCCAACCTCTCAATTTTCTCATATTGCACCCTAAGGTTTTGTAATTGTATCATTTTACACCTTTTGTCTATTTGAATGTTTAATTCTCCATTAAATTAATGAGAATTTTAGTCAAATTAGTACAGATGTGGCTTATATTATATCCCAATTACGGCTTCCATGCTCACTGTGTCATCAATTTGATGAAGATTCATTTATTTTGTTAGACAAAAGGCATAAATTGATACAATTTTAAAACCTCAGGATGTAATGTGAAATATTTAAAACCTCATGGCCCAATTTGAAATTCCTAAACCTAAAGGGTGTTAATTGAGTTAGTGCTTTAAAGTGTTATAAGGTCTCAAGTTTTGTAGCATGCACACACGTAAAAGGGTATGGACTGCAGTCATATTTTCTCTACTGCTATCTCTGTATGATGTTCCATGGCTACCTGGTTGCCAAATTGATATTGCTAATTGGGTATTTTTGGGATGTCAATGAGATGACAAGTAGGTGGTGTGGGATCATTAAAGATGGACAAGGCTTCAAATGTTGCATTTTTTTGGGGCTGTTGATGGCGTGCTTAATTGCTGTTTTGTTAATTAACTTTGGAAAACTTATGAGTTGAAAGTTGCAACTCAATAATGACTGCAGTAGCCTGCCTTAGCTTAGAAATGTATGTCACTTAACCACGTAAGAGCAAATCTGTATGATGAATTGAGTTTAGATGGTCGAATTCTTGTTTCTCTGTTTGGAAGAACTCAGTAGACATATATTTTAGGTACTATGAACTGATTTAGTTGTTTATTAGGGACCTAATTATAGTTTTGTCAAGCTGCATTTCAACTTATTTGTCATATCAGAACACGTCTTTCCCTGATTAGACAGTATAGAAATTTCATTGTACAAACTATTCCAATCATTTCTGAATTGTTTGAAGTCTACTTTGAAATCCCATTTTAACCAGAATCTTTTCAATTATCCTCGTGACTGCTATTTCAAGCCGTGATTACAATTACAATGATTTTGGATTTTGTAGTAGGAGCAGTCGTGGAGGGAACAGAAATGGTCGCGGCAAACCGCGTGGGAATGGCAGCGGCAGTGGTCGTGGACGCGGGCGTGGTCGTGGTGGAGAAGGGAGGAAGAAGCCTGTGGAGAAGTCGGTTGATGAACTTGACAAGGAACTCGATAGCTATCACGCAGATAACATGCAGGGTTAGTTCAAAACTGGAGCTGTGGAACTTTGCTTGCTGGTATCAGTCAGTGTTTTAGCTATGGTAGCTGTACAAAATGACGGTTATGATTTTCGGGATATAGACTAATTTCCGCTTGGATGATGTTCTCAAATGCTTTTCATCATAGGCCAGCAAATTTAGAGGAAACGAAGATGTTGGGTTCATTTGGAAGTTGTGTTGTTGGTTGGTAGCATTTTATTTTGTGTAAAACGATGCTTTAATGTTCCTATGATTTTGCTAAATGAGATAAATTAGGTGTGTGTATTGTTTTTGCTAGATCGCACCAATCACCCAACTTTTCGTTTGCATCTTAGACCCAGTTTTATGAGCTACATTATGAATTTACCCAATGCGGGAAATGCATCTGCCGTTCCAAAGAGCTGTGGTATGTCGTCGGAGGAATTTCTTCCCGGTGCGGATGGGTGTGGCCTGATAACCGGTTTAAGGCGTGACGAAAGAGATGAATATTACGAATGGAGAAGAACGGGAGTAAATAAATAATTGTTTTCGTCAAGTTAATGGAGGGCAGAAAGTTGAATGTAAAGAAAACCACTTAGTTTTGATGACACTGGTTAGTGGTTGGCACACTATTCTCCGCAATTTGTCAAAGAACAATACTTGGTTGCTCCTACTTAAAATTTTTCAAAATTATTTATTGTAAATTTATAGAATTTCGTGTTCATAATTAGAATTGTTCATATTATAAATTGCCTTATAAAGATCGTTTCTGTAAAAAATCAATTAAAACTAAAGTCATTTAGTCATCAAATTGTTTAAAACCAAATAAACGATATTGGTAAAAGTATAACGAACCGCTTATGTATTTGCTATAATAGATTGACTAAACGATCTTAGTTTTAATTTATATTTTGCAGATGATCTTTACAATATGATTCATAGTATGAACAATTCTGATCATAAGTATAAAACTGTGATTAAAACACTAATAGTTTTGAGTAGAAATTTCTACTTATCTTTGAGTAGTCAAGTATTGTTCTTTGTCAAAAGAATCTTGCTGTAGGCTACGGATCCCATCCTATAATTTTTCAGTCCATGAAAGGGGGCCCACTCAATTCTTCCAGATTGTACTGGATGCTTCTCTTCTCTTCCCTTCTAATCCCCACCGTTGAACACAAAAGCGCACTCAAATATTCAAACCTCCTCAGCCTTTCCCAGCTCTCTATCCGTCTCCGCCACTCTGCTCCGCTCTCCGCTCTCCACTCTCCTCTTCATCCCAACAAAAGTAAAAAAAAAAAAAAAAAAAAAAAACCCTAAGAACACAAATTAAACATTCCAGAAAATAATTTTAAGAAAAAAAAATGTTTGGGGTCGTCTTCCCGAATCGCAGCTTCCCAATGGACATCTCCTCCTTCTCCCAAATCGACACCTTCCACTGGATTCTCGACATGAACACCTTCGTTGGTAAGTTTTCCAAATTTCCCCTTTTGTTTTTATTACGAGCGATATTACTATTCTAATCTAAACTATGGCGATGGAGGGTTGAGCCGGGACGAAGATGAAGACCCATCACCACGGCAATCCACCGCTTTTCTTACCTTTTTTTTTTACTTCCAATATTTTCATCGGCGCAGTTTATCAATCTAACGTATGGTTTTTCTAATGTGCGCAGGGGAGGCGTACGATCAAGTCTGCGAGCTCTGCATATTCCTCTTAAACAACTTCACACTCCCGCCGGACAAAGCCCTAGCCGTCTACATCCAGTCCCCGGGCTCCGCCTTCTTCTTCTGCGGCGCCGTCACCGTGGCGAGGCCTTCGGCGGTGCTTTCTCTGCCCTGGCCCGAGCCCGGCGGCCAGCTCCAGCTCACAGCCGACGCGACGCCGCTGTCGGCCAAAATCGGCGTGTCGGTGGAGGACCTGGCGACGCTTCCGTCGCTGGACGTCACCGCCGAGAAGCGAATCGAGCGGCTGGCGATGAAGGTTGGGGAGAACCTGTTCAATTTCATGCAGTCGTTTTGCGGCGTGGATGGGAGCAAGCTGGTGGTGCCTATGGATATATTGGACCGGTGGTTCAAGAAGTTTCAGGAGAGGGCTAAGCGCGATCCTGAGTACTTGAAAGGCTTCGCTTTGTAATTTTGTAAGCTCTACTCTCTTTTTGGTTTTTCCTTTTTCGAAAGGTTGAATTTTTCGGTTTGTAATTGTAGTGTGTTTTTATGAAAATTACAGCTTGATTTGGGGGGTTTTTGCTCAATCCAATTCCTTCCGATGTGTTAAATGTTAGGTAGAACATAATTTTCGAATGCGAAATCAGTCTGCTGTGATGTTTAATTCCTATGATTTGAATTTGATGGACATATTAGAAACTGTTTATAGCGAAAAATAGACCGCTTTTTTCTTACTTGAAATATGTGTTGTGTGTTGGTGTTTAAGGAATTTAGGCTTTGTTGAAGGAGTAAGTTATGAAACTTATCCCAATTAGTACACTATAAACCGTATTTCCTCACGAATTGAATAGATGGTTATTTTCGGGTGTTAGGCGGTAGAAGAATAGATCACTTTTGGGTTCTGAATTAGAGGCAAGGCAAATTTGTACCAGAATTCGGGCATGGTGTGCGGATGGAGTTGAATGCTGGTGACAACAATGGTAGCTTTTGTTCGAGTGGTGGTTCGGCATGTTGACTGCTAGTGCTGAAAAGTACGGCATTGTAGATGGTGTATACTAGTTAGTTTGAATTTTATTGCGAGAAATCGCCTAATCAGAGATCTGTGCCAGAATTGTTACTTAGGTGGTTTATATTAGTTGGTTTGAATTTGATTGCGAGAAACCGCCAATCAGAGATCTGTGCCGGAGTTGTTAGTCAGAGCTCCGTGCCGGAATTGTTACTTTTATGTTTCATTTAGAATTTACTCAGTCATGTCATGTAATGACAACCATGTTTTGATAAGAAGCTCAGGCAAAAACCCAATGGGATGGAACGGAGTAGAGCTCAGCCAGATTTTAGGATTAGGACTATAATATGGTTGATTTAGGAGACACCAACTGCTTTCAATGTTGTACTACCTGGAGATGAAACCAGTTTTCGATTTGCTTGAAAGGTTTTATTAAACAACGGTCCTGTTTGGTGTCTAGGATTGGATTGGAATGGATGACCCTATAAATTCGAGGTATATTGAAGGTAGAGTTGAGGGGATTAACCATGAAAGAAATTTCTCCTATGTCCTACCGTTTTGGGGAGGAGTGGAATGAACAAGTTTTCTTCTTGAGCATTCAATTCCCTACCTCCAAGTCGCCGCAATTTTTTTTCCCCTTCAACATAATTGCGACTTATCCCATCTAATCCAATCCTCATTTTCCCTGCATTGACGGGAAATGTAACAAATCGATGAACTAGTGGTGCGAATTGGTTGAATTGAAAGAACACATGAACTGAAAGAAAACTAATGGTGTTGGTAAATCGTGGATAATTTCAGAGACTATTTTTCCAAAGACCCATTTGGTGAATTTGCAGAGAAAGTTTCAACTGTTCGTATCAATGTCCAATAAAGGATTATAAACAATTATTAAAGCAATGAGTTTGGTGCTGTGAGTGGAGCTTATATAAGACGCTATCAATATCGCGTAGGGTTTAGTTTTTATCTCACGGGTCAACCATTGTTGTCCGTACAAAGCATTGGTGATGGGAGGAGGGTTTAGTTTTAATCCCAGGTTGACCATTGTTGCCTGCATGAAACATTGGTGTTGATGGTGGGCATTTATAGGCTGTTATCAATAAGGGTAGAGTTTAGTTTTAATCTCAGGGTCAAGCATGGTTGGCCGGACGAAGCATTATTGTCGGGGGTGGGGCATTTATAAGTTGTAGTCAACCCTGAAAGAATTCATCCTAAAGTTGTAATTTTTAAAATAGTAACCCCTCCTTAAAACAAATTTCTCCACCACACTGCAGTGAGCCAAAGAATATCTGTGAAGTCAAAGACTTTTAGGTTTGGCTTCCCTTGTCAAATATTGTAATTGAACCTCACACATGCTCAATCTAGCTTTTAGGATATATTTTGATTATGGGCTGTTGCTACTAGAGTAAATGTGATGTGGCACATTTCATCTCAAAATGTTTGTTTATGCATATGCATTTCATGTTTAACTTATTTATGCATTTTGACTAGTGACCTTGTCTCGTCAAAATTTCTTGATGTTATCCAGCTAGCTAGGCATGCAATTTAAGATAACTCACATGGGCTAACTGACACCTTTTAGACGAGATTGAGCTTTTTACCATTGATCTGCTCATATTGCTTGCACATTTGACAAGTGTCTTTGTACCTTGTTTGCAGCAATCTAAGGTTTTGTTTTAATAGGGTTAGAGGATTTCATTTCCTCTTTGGAGAGAAAGTTTATAATTTTGAGACGGTTTGCTTTTTCCTCTCTATCTCAGATTTCCTTATGAGCATCAAGCATTTTTCTGGGTAATATTTGTCTTTGAATATTTATAAATTCTTCTCTGTAAATGCGTGTTTAAAATCTTCTTAATTGCTCATTTGTTTTGGCTAGAAAATTTTACATTTTCAAAGAGTGTTTTAAAACCTTGTGTTGCCTCTTGTGTTCTTCTTTAGAAACCCTAACCACAAAACCATGTTCATGCATTAAACACCCACTCATTGTAGAATAGAGTTGCATGTTCTTCTTGGTTTTGTTTTATTTTTGTGGTCAAGTTCTTCAAGTTTCAAATCTTTAAACTGACCTGTTTTGGATTCTCGTCAGTTTCTTCTTTTAACTGTTTGACTGGTGAAACTGACTGGTTGTTGAATCCAGATTTTAAATGCATATCATAACATTATATCATTTTGTGATTTGAGTTGATATTGGTGCCACAAGGTGAAGAGCTCATGAGGAGCTGCCACTTCGTGAAGATCGAAAGAGTTCATCTCGTGTAAGGCAATGTTGCACAAAGGTAAAGCTACTCCGTAGCTAAGGATTTGTTGGATGTATTGGTCAATTAGGATTTGTTATTGCAACTACTCTTTATATCACTGATTAACTTGTAACCAGTTGACTAACTCATTAGACTAGTCTACTGTGCATAGTTAAATTTGTATTTGCAGGATATTCCATATGGTACCAATTTTTATATTCGAGTGTGCCGAGCCCTGAAACACACCGAACTCAAGATGTTATTTTTACGGCCTGCTACCATATACTTGTTACTATTCATGATATGCTAAACCCTAAACCTCATGGGCCTCTACTACTTTTGCTGCACCTTAGGCCTTCTCGAGGGCATAAGGTGGGTTGCTACTAGTGCCTGAGCTCAATGGGCTTGGGCTGCTACTGCATCTCCCTCTGCCTAAACCATCAATTTTATTTATTTTTGTTAAAATTTTCTTTTTGCCCTTACCATAACACCAAACTATCATCTTCATGTTTTAGAAAATGTATTTTCGGTGAAAATTGTCTTATTATCCATGTCAAAACACTCAAAAACAAGGATATAAATATAAATATAAAGGTATTTGAATCTAAATAAAGTAACGTAGGAAGAAAAAAAATTCAAGGAAAAAAGAAAATAAATAAATAAAATAGAAAAAGATACGATTGGTACTTTGCTACCGATTGTCCACAAGAACAAGCGAGGTAGTGACTGCACCTTAAACCTATCGCTAGCATAATACCGATCACCCTTTTCATTTTTTTTCATTTTTTTGTTTTTTTGTTTATTTTTGTTAATTTTTCTTTTAATTCTTTTACCATAACAACAACTGTCATATTCAAGTTCTTCAAAATATATTTTTCTGTGCAAAATCTATTATAATTCATACTTAAATACTTGTAATCAACGATTTAAAACCTAAATTTACAGATATTTGAATTTAATATTGGTTACTCAAATAAAGTAAATAAATTGGAATAGGGAAAACCGGTACCACATTACCAATCCTCATCCAGTTGTACTTAAATTATCGTTCAATCTATTTATTTTCACTTTCGTCTCACCGTGAAGTTTTGAAAAATAAAGTGAGACTTTCCATTGAGATTCTTGAGGTTAGAACCCCATTTGACATTATTTTGGGCCTCACTACTGTATTTTTCACTTCTTCTTTTTTATTGTCCACTTAAATATTCTATTAAATATATATTTATTACTCAAAAACCGTAAAAGCGCTCTTAAATGCCTTATAAAGTTTTTTTTTTTTTTAAGGGAGTCGTGGACCCCAACGCTTATTAATTTTGCTTAGGTATAAGTATAACAACCAATCAACATCAGATAACTTGGGAACGCCCATACGTTATCCCAAAATTTGGTTTCCCCTCCAAGATCCTGGGGCCGATACGCTTTTCTTTTTTCGGTATACCGCTTCGCGAGCAAAACAAATGAACATATATCATCATATGAATTAATAACTACGTGCTTTCTCGTTTTCTTTTTAATATTTTTAGTTTCTAGTAGGTTTTTTTTATCGTGTATTTTGTTCAATTCAAAAATATAAATCAGAAAAGAAAAGAGCATTTCACTTATTCTTATATATATATATATATATATATATATAAGGCTTATTTGCGTTTACTTTGTTTCCCGCTTGGCCTTTGTTTTGGTACCTTCTCTTGTCTAATTTTTAATGTATCGGATGACAAATCCTCGGACATACTCAAAACTCTCTTAAGCTTCCCAAAGAATGCGTATCATAAAGCGTGCCACTACATCTTTTAACAAAAGCTAAAAGAATAAATAATATCATGTAAAATTTAGACATTTGTGTAGAAGAATTTCTTCCACAGGCAGGTATACGGAGTGATCAAAATACAAGAATACACAATTTTGTTTCTTCACTCATCCAGGTTTCAAAACCCACGAGACCAACACAACTTTCAGAATCTGCACACACTTCTTTTTACTTTTTATATACCCTTCTCGATTTTTAATTGTTAGATGGAATGAACTTGAGAATATCAAAGAAATTAATAAAAAATGTGAAAAATAAATAAGTGTGTGAATAACACTATTTTTTAATTATAAGATGAAAAAAAAGGAAGGATTTTTTATTAGCACCCACATATTGTTAAATACACTCCACATTAAAACTTATTATTAAATGACTTATATACCCTTATATAAAATGACTATTTAGGCCCCATTAGATTTTAAAAGGAAATTAAAAATTCTAAATACACATCAAATCACTTCCAATGTGTATGACATAAGGCTCTTTCTCTTTTCAAGTTTTCAAAGTCACTATCATCCACTAGTGTAGAACAAAACCCTAATCAATAAAATTATAAACGTGTTGATTTAAAAAAAAAAAAAAAAAAGAAGAAGAAGAAGATAACTTTCATTCGTGATTTATTTGGTTGATATTAGCTTTACTGTTTTGTAGTTGTGTTATGATACCTTTGTAGAAGAATATATCAAGAATCCCTTCCTAAAACATGATTAAGAGCCCATATGTGGTGTTTAAGAGTTCTTGTTGACAATCGAGGGCCAGGGATGAAAGTGTGGTGCGTAAGGATATATAAAAAATTTGTAGACATCAAAATTTCAGTGAGTTAAATGTTCACTAATGCATTAAAGTTTCGACGTGTCAGGGCATACATGGCATACGCCATGTGTCGTACAAATTGTACACATGGCGTGTGACTCAACAAAATTGGACAAATCACCTCATATTGAAAAGGGGTGCATGAAGGGTATCAAAAGAAATACCCTTGGACGATTAAACAAGATTTTTTTCTCATTTTGGGCAATGACAAGACAAGTACACTTCAATCCATTACGGATCAAAACAAGTTTTTCTCATTTGGACAATGACAGGGCAAGCACACTTCAATTTTAGTGTTGTATTAAGTGGAAAAATTAGGCCATAAGTTAGGCCACTTCAAGTTTAAAATTGTATTAAGTGGGAAAATTAGACCATAAGTTAGGCCACAAATGGGTGGGAAGAAAAAAATTGTGGTGGCGATTCATTCTCAAAGCCTATAAATAGGCTTCTCCATCAAGGTATCAACTATCCCCAAGAATCATACATTCAAAGCAAAGCAACGAGAAAGA